AGGGATTTGTATTGCTGCTCTATGCCGAAATGGCACAAACGACTGCAGTTAGCATATGTTCTCGGGGCATTGGGGGAGGCAAGTGCTTGGTGAGGCCTCTGCGGGCAGCGGAGCATCTCGTCGGGAGCTCGAAGTGCTGTACAGTTACAGTACTGTACGTACAGTACAATGATGCACTGCACTTCCATCCATTGCGATCAGCACTGCACGCAACGGCATTACAGTACAGTACAGTATATACAGCAGTGTACTGTATAGTACAGTACAGTATACAGTTCACCGAAGACAGCTGTGCGTCCCTGTGCCCGACCGTAGCAGCATAATCAAGCCTCAGGCACGAGTTATTGTACGCCCTTCGCCCAGGTCCGGACCGCGTCTTCCTTCGCTTCGGTGGGTGCCTGGGGCCTACAGTACAGTACATGGGGTTTTCAGGCTTGGTTCAGTTTGTTCCGTGGGTTTGTTGGGCTTTGGGGCTTTTGGGTTCTTCGTTGTTGCGAGTGCGTGCACAGGAGGGCCTCGGGTTGGTGCTCTTCGCTCCCCTTCTTCATGCTAGGTCGCTGGTGCTCCTGACCTCCCGGGTGCTGGCCAGGCCGTGTCCCTGCTTTGAACTTTTTTTTGCCTTCCTCAACGGTTTGCTGCGACAGCTCTCGGAAGATCATCGCGACTCTGCTGGAGCCGGGCAAGCGACATCGCCACTTCCTGGAGAAGGTGCTTGCATGTGCTCATGTGTTGCCAGGGCCCATCTCATCACAGAACAACACAACACGACACCACACAGCATCACACAGCATCACACAGCACAGCGCAGCAGAAAAGCCCACAGCCACACAACATCAGCAAGCGAGTTTCACCTTGACTTTCACGGATGTACCGGAGGGGTGGCTTTCGCATGTGCAAACATTGTCTGTCGGCTGCGTGCATCTTTGTCTGGGTATGCCTGCACACGTATTCCACTGACACGTCTGCGTGTGCTGACTCGTGGGCAGGTGCATCAGTCGTGCCCATCCCGATGCAGGCCTCTGTTTCTGTGCACTTCGTGTGCTGCGGGTCTCGGGTGCCTGGTCCTTGGCATGCCTCCTTTACTTCTGTTTTCCTAGTCCGAAATGCTGCTTGGTGCTTGCCCTTGGTCAGGTTCCTGCTCCGAATGACGGCATCATCGAGGCTGCCTGGACCTTGGGCGTCAGCTGCCTCCTCTGCTGGGCCCCGTCGTTGCTGTGTACTTGACTAACGGGGAGCAGGTGGTGGGCACATCCTTGGGTGCATCGTTGGCCTGGACCTCGGGCTTGAGGTTTGCTGGCCTCTTCGTTGTGGTAGTCTTCGCAGTGCTTTAGGTCCCGGAGCCCGAGAATGCAGCGGCACCTGTTGTGGCAACATGATGTCTCTGTGTCTTGCGAGGCTTCCTTGGATGACCTGGCACCGACAACACACGAGTCATTGGCCTGGGCCTTGGGTCTCCTCGGCAGGCTCTTGCTTCGGGCATATTCATGCTGTGTTGCTGCACCGTAGTTGGGCATGTCTCTCTGCCGTAGCACTTACGGCTCCTCGACGACGGTGGTCGCACTCACGATTTGACGATCGGCAATGTCTGAGCCGGCCGGGAACGAGCAGCATGTCACTCCTGCTACTCACATCCGTCGCAGTCACTCTGGGAGCCCCGATGTGCCAGTCCCGGATCTTAAAAGGCGCCGCCGAACTGGATGCCAGGACGTCGAGGACAACACAGTGGAGAGCGAGCGCCCAAGAGGATCCTTGGCATCACTAGCAGATCTCTGGAGTGCCATGTTTGGGTGGCCCGCACATGCGGCTGGATCTTCTGCTGATCGTGCCGATGCCGTGCAGCAGCAGTCCTCTGCTGATCGTGCCGATGCTGTTGATCGTGCCGATGCTGTGCAGCTGCAGTCCTCCGTGGGCCCAAAGACGCCATCTCCACGTGCTCGACGTGCTGCTCCCCGATCCCCTGTAGGTTCGGTCAGGCAGGGTGAGCCGGTGCCACAAGGTGGTCGTCTGCAGGATGCAGACACGAAGCTCCACGGAAGCACATGATCTTGGCCACGGCAACATGGATCATCGGATCGCGATTGGGGTTCGCTCGCGGGAAAAGGGATACCGGAGCACTGCTGGTCTCCACGTACGGTGCTGGCTTGCATGCTCGGACCCATTGCTGATTGATGTGGCTGTGAGGCCGTTGACAGATCCATGCCGGCATCGACATCTCCGGAGGCGGTATGTCCTGAGTCGGCCGTGTGCTGCAAACGACATACGGAGACATCGGCCATGTAGCAGGTCACTACAGTACTCTTGCTACCAGTAGTGGAGCCGCTCCGGCAGCAGGGCCACTGCACAGTACTGTACAGTACTGTAGACTGCCCTGCAACCCCAGCCCGTTCCCGGGAACCCCGGGCCTCTCGCCACGGTCAGGTCTCTTCGCTCGGCCTCCAGCTTGCTTGGACCCTGGAGTGCAACCTCTCCGAGTTTACTGTAGGGTTGAGGGGCTGAGGGGTTTGCATTGCTGCTCTATGCCGAAATGGCACAAACGACTGCAGTTAGCATATGTTCTCGGGGCATTGGGGGAGGCAAGTGCTTGGTGAGGCCTTTGCGGGCAGCGGAGCTACGGTCAGGTCTCTTCGCTCGGCCTCCAGCTTGCTTGGACCCTGGAGTGCAACCTCTCCGAGTCTAGGGTTGAGGGGCTGAGGGGTTTGTATTGCTGCTCTATGCCAAAATGGCACAACCGACTGCAGTTAGCATATATTCTCGGGGCACTGTGGGATGCAAGTGCTTGGCGAGGCCTTTGCGGGCAGCGGAGCATCTCGTCGGGAGCTCGAAGTGCTGTACAGTTACAGTACTGTGCGTACAGTACAGTGATGCACTGCACTTCCACCCATTGCGATCAGCACTGCACGCAACTGCAGTACAGTATATACAGCAGTGTACAGTACAGTATACAGTTCACCGAAGACAGCTGTGCGTCCCTGTGCCCGACCGTAGCAGCTTAATCAAGCCTCAAGTTATTGTACGCCCTCGCCAAAAAAAACACCAAGCCCGCCATGACCTCCGTGATGGACATGCTGATGAAGAATGTGAGTGCGCAGGAGATGGCGCGAGCCAGGCGGGCCAGCCAGCAGGTGGCGCAAGCTCCGGGGGAGCCTGCCACCAGCGCTGGGCCGCCGGCCGAAGACGACGCTGTCTCTGAGGCCCCACTTGCTTCAGAGAAGGGCGATGCGAAACTGCCCGCCCTGCCACCGGGTGTCCACCGATTCATGAAACAGACCCGGGCAAACCTGGACAAGAGCACCTACCGGAGATTTCAAGCGGTGCATTGGGGTGAGGCAAGGGATGCGGTGGCGATCGCCTGGAAGGAAGAGGCAGAGAGAATTCTCTGCGATTTCGAGTTGAAATCATCCAAAGACGCACTTGCCTTCCTGCAGAGCATGGACTTGTCCGTTGCCTCTTCAGCTACGATTGAAGCAAAACGCTGTCTCTTGGTGGAGTCGCTGCAGAACGGCCGCATTCAGCAGGTGGAAGACCGGCTGTGCCTGGTTGCCCTCAAGACACTCGCCCACCTAGATGAAGTTCCTTCTGGCTTCAATTTGCGAAGCCGTCCTGACGGCTTCCACGCCGAATGGAGTGGGAAGAAGGGAATGCTGCTCAAGGCCCGTCTTCTGCAGAACTGGACATCGCCGTGCTCAACTACTGTAAAGTACTGTGGAGCACAACGCTGTACTGTACTGTATACAGTAGTCATGTACCGTAGCGCAAGCTGTGTGCTGCTCTGCATTGCTACTTGCGGTACTGTACTGTACAGTACCGCACTGTGCTGTACTGTACTGTACAACATGATACTGCACAGTACTGTAGATTGAGTTTCATTTCATCTGAATGCCGCAGGTGCACAAATCCGCTGCTGCAGCCTGTGCTTTCTTGCAGAGTATGCAAGCTGCTGAGCAGAGCGGGGCGGTGGAGAAGTCGCTCAAGGAGCTGGAAAATCAAGGCTCAGCAGCAGGGGAGTCGCAGAAAGCTATCCGGGCACTGCTGAAGCATTCGAGCTCGCAAGAACTGGGCCAAGCCGTGCTGGAACTAGCCGATGCTGAGACTGAGACGCCTGCCGTGCTTGCAACTGCCGAAGACATTACGGCGGAGTTCCTAGCACCCATGTCGCAGATGGGGCCGGAGCTGTGTGTCGCCGAGGTTGGCGTGTACAAGGGAATGCTGAGGTATCTGCATTCTGCGACCGACCCTCGCGGCCTCCTGGCTGCCACTTCCGATCTTGTCTGCCGGGACTTGATCTTGAGTTCTGGGACGCCCCTGCGGGACGTGCTGAAGACACCCGAGCTGCAGGAACGCTGGAAGGCTCTCGACGTGAAACCAGTGGGCATGGTGGTGCAAGGAGGGGCGTCGCCGCAGCAGCATCACGAAGATCTGGAGATCCTGCGCCAGGCAAATCCGTCCGCCGAGCAGCTGCTGTTTATGTCCTTCCCCGGGCCTATTTCATGGCAGGTGCAATTCAACAACGGTCTCCAGTGCTGTAGAGCGGAGCCGAACTCCCACGTGGGTCGGAGAGCGGGTAGGACCAGCTTCACAGCAGCCAGACTGGAACAGCTGGGCGTCACGTTCGAGGACGAAGCACGGGCACTGGCACTGAGGGCCATCCAAGCCACCACGGAAGCAGGGATGCAGCGGGTTGAGAGACGCACCCAAGCCCAGATCATACCCGTGCCTCCTGATGGACTTTGCTGCTACCATGCCCTGATTGCCGGCCTCGACTGTGCCAGATACCTGCGCGGCACGGCATACATTACAGTACATACTGTACAGTAATGTACAGTACTACTGTACTGTACTACAGTACTGTACTGTACGGCGTGGTAATTACAATACAGTACTGTACTGTACTGCGCAGTACTGTGTCAAATTCCGAAACCGGACAAATAACCGCAGTTAGCATATCAATTGGAGCGTCCGCCCTTTCTGTGCCACATGTCTGTGCAGTACAGTACTGTACAGTACGGTACGCATTGCACTGTCCTGCAGTGCTAGCACATTGTTTCCCGAGGCATAGACCGAACGTCGTTGGGCTTCGCCAGGAACAGTCGGCAACAGCGGCTGGAAGCAGGGGCGGCTTACGCACTCCGGAACCTGGCGCTGGAGGCAACAGCCGACCTGGAATTTCCGGAGTGGCTGGCGCGGCTCGCCCACAACGCCGCCCAGCAGATGCCTGTGGACGTGCAAGAGCTGCACTGGCTTGCACGTTCGCTGGAGCTGCGGATACGGTGCACCGTGGACGCAGAGGCGCTCATAGGGAAACTGCGCAGTTAGCACCTGCTGAGCAGGCATGGGGGCATGAGGGGCACAGTACAGTACTGTACGTACAGCACATTCGAGAATTGAAGTCGTTACGCATGTTTGTGGATCTGACCAGACACAGGGGGGAAGCATTTGCATAAGTCACAATGCCCAAAGACTTTCCTTCAGCGCAGTTCTGCGCAGTGGTGTACTGTACAGTATCCGCTGTTATCTGGAGGTGCTGCAGTGGGTTGTCGGCATCAACGAGGATGCCATCTATGGGGATTGTACCGACGACACCTATGATGTCCATGTGTACTTCCGCTGTCTCACAGGCGAGGACGGCAGACGATGCAGCCACTTTGATCTTCTTCTCCCGTATTCCGAAGGCGATGAGCAGATCGGAATGGTGATCCCCGTGCCGCCTACAGTGAAGCCCGCCCCTGTTTGTGAAATGTACAATGATCGGTTTCCTGGCCAGCAGATGGAACCGATGAACGACAAGCCTGAGGAGCAGAATCAGGAGAACGTTTTGCAGGGGGATGAAGTTGAGACGATGGCCCCGCAGATCACGGAGGAGCAGAAGGACAAACAGGCCGAGTCCCAGGAGCAGAGAGGGGAGCAGATAAAGGAGGGAACGGCCAACAGCGAGTCCCCGGAACAGGGCGAGGAGCCGCCGATGCCTGCGGAGACCCCGAAGCTACTGACGGAGAATCGCCAGGATGAGAATGCAGAGAAAAAGGAGGAGGACACTGAGACCAAAGGTGAGGCCAAGAACGAGCTCCCGCAGCAGAGGCAGAATCAGCAGGTGGACATCCCAGACAAGAATAAGGATGAGGCAGGTGAGACCAGTCATCAGGGGCTTGAACAGCAGCAAGAGCAGGCTGACAAGCAGTTGCATGATGAGCAGAGGGAAGTTGAGGAACTGGAGGAAGAGGACAAGGGCGAGGGAGGGGAGGAGCATCAGGAAAGACAAGCAGGAAGAGGAGCAGCGGCAGGAAAACAACCAGGGGCTGCAAGAAAAGAGTCAGGGAGGGAAGGAGCAGGAGCAGGAACTCAGTGAGGAAGCGGAGGCAGATGAAAAAGGCGAGGGCGAGGAGAAGGAGCAGGAAGTTGATGCTGAACAGGAGGAAGATGATGAGGGCGAGGAGGAGGAGGAGGAGGAGGAGGATGAGGAGGAGCAGGAGAAGGAGGAGGAGGAGGAGGAGGAGGAGGATGAGAGGAGGAGGAGGAGGAGGAGGAGCAGGAAGATGACGAAGGTGAACAAGCAGAGGAGGAGGAGGTGCACGAAGTCGATCCGGAAGTGGAGCCAGATGAGGAGGGCAATGGGGAGTTCTGTGTTTGCAGTACAGTACAGTACAGTTCAGTACAGTACATACAGTACTGTGTAAAGCAGTCGGCCCTGCTGAACACAGGTCATATATATGCCATAGTACAGTGCAGCACATTACTGTAATATACTTTACAGTACAATAGGAGTGCACTTCTGGTCTGTCCCAAGGAGTCGAGACCTGCCAACATGGAGACCATGCTTTCCATTGGCAAAATGGAGATCCTTCAGAGCATCTTCCAGGGAGAGAAAACGTTGGAGATCCGCAACCGGCAACTACGGCCTGGCCGCACCTGGGTGTGTCTCAAGGACCGAGTCTACGGCACCGTGGATGTGGGCAAGCCCTTCCGCATCTCTGACCCGAAGTTATGGAAAGCCAGGAAAGCTGACCACTGCGTGCAGAGCAACGTGCCAATGTACGGAGAGAAGACGTGGGCCAACCCCGTGTCCAACCCTCGTAAGCTCCCAAAGCCTCTTGCCTTTTATCGCAAACACGGGGCCATCGGCTCTGTCAAGTACAGGCCAGCGGAGGGAGCCAAGAACAAGAAGGAAGACAAGAAGGGTGAGGAGACGAACGAGGAAGGTGACCAGTCTCAAAGCACCACTTCGGCGTCCGCTCCCAAGAAGTATGCCGTGGCCACTCTGTCCCGCACCCTCATGGACAGAGTGCGGGAGGCAGCCAATCAGAAGCTGAAGAGCTTCGAGCTCCTCACCACCAGCAGATACACTGCTGGTGGTGAGATGCTTCTGGTGCAGACCAAGACGGATAACAAGGTGGCTATCCAGGCCTCGCTTGTGCAGCACAGGCGGCTGACGACCACCTGGGAGCTCACCAAGGCTGCTGCCTACAAGCAGGCCACGGCACCCGAACAGACGGCGTGGAAAGCCAGGTTGCACCAACACCTGGCCGTCTACAGCTGTCGGCTCAGCAACCTCCGAGCCCCGTCGACAAATATACGACTTCGGGGCGGCCACGGCTGCAGGAGGACGGTGGCCGTGGAATCCGATGTCGTGGAGGAGGAAGCCACTCCGAAGGCAGAGATCCCCGCTCTCAGCCTCCGGGACACAGCTCGCTACTTTTTGCAGCGTCTGTCAAAGGGCTGAATGGCTGCGAAATCAAGCTGGGCAGCACTTGCTCAGGGACAGATGTGTGCACGAACGTGTTCAAGCACACGCTGCAGTTCCTGGCCGAGCAACACCAGGCCACCTTAGCGCACAGTACAGTAGTGTACTATGCAGTACTGTACCGTACAGTACTGTACAGTGCAGTGCAGTACAGTAGTCCACGCATTCTGCAGTACCGTACAGTGCCGTACTATGTGCGGCTGGCGGGCAACGTGGATGGCAACCCTTCCTGTATAATTTCTGTTGTCAAGACCCTGCAGAGAACTGCAGTTAGCATATATTCCGGGCCAGCCGCCTTCGTTCCGTGACTCCGTGTATACCTGGGTGGGGTGGGTTCCTCCTACAAGCTGCCATGAACACTGTACTGTACAGTACTGTGACTGTACCGTGTCCCTACTGCACAGCTGCGTCGGGAAGTGCGGTTACCCGGGCGGTTCCCTTGTTTGAGACCGTGCTGCATTGTACAATACAGTGTAGTACAGTACGGTACTGTACCTGTATACCGTACAGTACAGCATGGTACTGTATACTTTCCTGCGCTGTATCGTGTGATCGTTTGACGCTCAGGTCTCCATCAGCGTCAAACATGTGCTGGCAGTGGAGCTGGATAAAGGCAAGCGCGATTTTCTGATGCGCGCACACAAGCCCACCTTCTGCCTTTTCGAAACGGTGGACATGTTCGCCAAGGGCAAGACTGCATTCTGCCACACGTGCCGGCGAGTACACGAGGCGCCTGACGTCGACGTTCTTGTGGTCGGCTCCAGCTGCAAGTCCATTTCAAGGATGAACAACTCGCGGACAGACTACCAGGATTGTTGCTCGGCATAACGTTAGTGCTTTGCTGGACGGCCACACTGTACTGTACAGTACAGGTCGAAACGCAGTACAGTACAGTACTGTAGTGTTCCGCATACTTGTACCGCAACCTACATCACTACACTGTACTGTACAGTACTGTATGTACAGTGCAGCGCTGCACTGTGATGTATCGCATGGCAATCTGTTTTTGTCTGTGCACATGCAGGCTACCAGAAAGGCAAGGGCTGTTCTGGGAGCACGTACCAGAATGGTGTCCTGCAAGCGAGCAAAGAGTTGGCTCCAGCCCTTCTCTTCTTTGAGCAAGTCGTAGGCATTTTGGATTCGCCGGTGCAGAAGAACGGCAAGAGAAAGACTCCTTTGGTCCAGGCCGGTCGGGGAACATGACTTTAGCGCAGGGTTTCCTTGTTGTACATGTGGCAGAAATGGACAGGCGGACTGCAGTTAGCATATGCTGTTGGCCATGGGGTCGCCGAGTACTGTATTGCACAGTACTGTACTGTACTGTAATGTATTGGACTGTACTGTAGGAACAACACATAACAGCACAGATATTCCCAGTACAGTACGGTATAGTGCTGTACAGCGCAGTACAGTGCAGTGCATGCAGGTCATGGAGAGCGACATGGCATCGCTAGGCTACACCTTCCAATTCAAGAAGCTGGACGCGCAAGGCTATTTGTTGCCGCAGCGCAGGAACCGGGTCTACGCACTAGGAGACGTCCAGTCAGGCCGCGAACCCTTCAACCTCCAGTCGGCCATGGGACAGACCCTCGCAGACTTGGCATCGGACGTCTCTTTAGCAGAGCAAGTCTTCGATGCGAGCCTGCCCAAGGAAAGTCCAAGGTCAGCACTTGGAGCTCAAGTAGTGGAAAAGGCGAAAGAGGAGGCTGCGCTGCGTGCCGATATTGACATTTTCATCGACACGCAGACATCACTCAAGCGAAAGCCCGAGATGAGCTATGCAACCTCCACATGTGTGCGGCCGTCGCACGAAATCTACTCGGCAAGGATGGAGAGATACCTCACCCTCCGTGAGCAGTGGCTCTGCCAGGGTTTGTTCCCTAACGACTTTGAGTTTGCCGAGGAGGTGGAGAAATTTATCAGAGAGAAACCTAGCCTTGCGAAAGACCTAGTCGGCAACGCAATGGCTGGCACCGTGCTGCAGGCTCAGGCGGGGACACCTGTACTGTACTGTACTTACAGTACAGTACTGTACAGTACTGTACTGCACTGTAGGCGGACAGTGCCGTGGAATGTATCTTCGTGTACTATATACAGTACCGTATAGTACAGTACAGTAATGTACACAGTGCGGAACCGCAGTTGGCATGCATACAGCATACGGTGTACAGTACTGTACAGTACTGAGTACAGTGTTGCACAGCAGCGGTCTTTCATTCAAAGCATACTGTACTGTGCAGGTGATGGCTGCCCTGGTGCACGCGCAAGGCTGGAAGAACTTAAGTGCTGAGCACCGGACAAAGTCCATTGGAACTGAGTTCGACTGGAAGCAGTATCGGGTGAAACCCGCCGTGGAGTACTACAAGCCACCGACAGGCTTATGGGCCCCGCCAGTCACGCATGATCAGACAACCGAGCAGCTGAAGAACATGTGGGGCAAGTACAAGACTCACAAGAGTGATTGGAACGCCTTGCCGAGCAAAGAGCAGGATGAACTCTGGGTGCAATTCCGAGAGCAGCCACGGCAAGAGCAGAGTGCGAGCGCCGTACCGAGCGCTGTGGAAGATGCGCTTGTGCAGCAGCCAGCTGCAAAGCCACAGCCTAAAAGACGTGCAAGTGAGATATGGAACACTGTCGAACAAGCACTTGCGCAGGAGCCATCTGCAAAGCGGCAGACGACAGAGGCCTCGTCCTCCTCCAGGCAGGCGGACTCCGCAGCCATCGTGGACAAAGAACCTGCAGCAAAGCGGCAGCGGCTGTCCAAGACAGATGCTGCGCCCGTTGGCGGTGCCAACTGGTTTTCAGGAACCAGGTTGAAGCACAAGACATCACGCGATTCGGCCAGCTCCGCATGCGACCGGCCCGCCACAGGTCGCGACAAGCCCGCCAAGGACACAGAGAAAAGGGTGGTCATGTACGCCCCTTCCGTGCAAGAGCTTCGGAAGATGAAGAAAGAGCGCAGGCTGTACACCCGCAGGAGCGCGAACATAGAGCGCAAGGGCAAGAATGCATGCTTGGATATCTTCCGCAAGGTCGCGCTGCTAGACGAAACTCAGCCTTGCAGTACAGTATTCTGTACAGTACAGTACTTTACAGTATAGTCCCACCCTCACGGTACAGTGCAGTACTGTATGTACAGTATTGTGTGGAGTGCAATCAACGTGATGCCGTGCAGCTCAGGAATGGGAGGAGGCCAAGAAAGACCCAAAGATCAAGTCGCCAGAGCAGTACATGCTTAAAAAGCGCAGGACCGCTGCTTTCCAAGGATGCTTCGGCCGATGGTCCAAATCTGCCCTCCACTTCCAGTGGAGGGCATTCGTGAAATGCGCACCCGAAATGTCCAAGCTTTGCAGCGAGGTGCCGAACTCGGTGCGAGGGATGCTTGGATTGGTCAAGAAGCACACGAACAGCAAGTTCAGCACATCGAAGGGCCTTCACCAAATTCCTTTTGCATTGGGTGTTGCGCTGGAAAAGCTATTGATGGACCACGTTATCGCAGGTGAGGAAGTTACTCTGGCATATGCCAGCAGCGTTTGCAGCTCGCTGGTAGAGCTGTGGAATGAGCAGGTGGAGGGCTTTGCCAAGAGTGTCGGGGAGATGAAGCTCGCGCAGGCAGACTCCCAGCTGGCATCCGGCGCGAGTGCCAAGGACGTGAAAGCAGTTGCTCAGGCCCGAGCTGCAGCGCAGCGTTTTTTTTGTTGTACGTTTGTGTGGCAGAAATGGGCAGGCGGACTGCAGTTAGCATATGCTGTTGGCCATGGGGTCACCGAGCACTGTATTGTACAGTACTGTAATGTGTTGGACTGTACTGTAGGAGTGGATGGTGCTGCAGGGGAACCACAACAGCACATAACAGCACAGCTATTCCCCAGTACATTGCTGCTTTGTCCGTTCTTGAGACTGCGTGCTGTACATTACACAACGTACTGAAAGCTGTCCTGTCAGGCGTCAGAGCTGGACTTCGAACAGGCTCTGCAGCAGCTCCGCCCAATCGTGCTAACGCAGAAGCACGAGACCTTCAGGCAATCACCATACAGTACTGTAAGTACTGTACTGTGCTGCACTGTAATGTTCTGTGTTGGGCAACGCGCGTGTGTTCTTTGTCTTTCCCTGGATCAGGAGGCACGTGCGGAAGGTTTGCACGAGCTTGGGCCTCAAGGCACACGCTGTGGGCAAGAACACCACAGGCCGCCACCTTCCATATGACCACCCATCTATGGAGAGGGTTCGCCAGGGCGTGGAGTTCTTGCGGACTCGCCACAACATCCGACCGGAGCTGAATCTGGGCTGCTTCAAGAGCTGCAACTTGTACAGTACTGTGCTGCATACACAGTACAGTACAGTACTGTACAGTACAGTGCAATAAAGAATTTACTGTGGTGCGGCATCATCCTGTTGGCAACAGCGTGCCTGCCGGCGTATGCTACTGTACAGTAAGTGCACTCTACAGTGCAGTACCGCACAGGGTCTTGAACAGTAGGACAGTATAGTACAGCACAATACCCTCTCCTCGCCCTTTGCTCTCCTCTCCTCTCCTCTCCCTCTCGTCTGTGATGTAAGAACTGCACTGTGCTGTACTGTAGGCAATACTGTATGTACAGTAAGTAATACTGTACAGTACTGTAATTCTCCTGTACTGTACAGTAGCCGCCGCTGTGACCTGAGGACGTGCAACTTCGACCAGGTGTGGTGCACCCACTACGAAGGTCCGAAGAGGGTGCTGTTCAAAGATGCTGCGCTGCAGGGGATGATCCCTGGCAAGCCCAGCACCCCCACGCAGGCCAAAATGCTGCAGAGCCTGCGTGCCACACTGGGCCTGCCATCTGAAGCAGCCACAAACCCTCCACCCGGGGACAGAGCAGCCTTGAATGCTGGCTCCACGCTCATCCCCGTGGATAATAACCGCTGCGCTCGCACCACCACCACCCTCACATGGGCTGATGGCACAATGGGACGTGCATATGTCACAGCATCGCCCA